CATTAAAAATAGGAAAAGATCTAAATGGACATCTGCCCAAAGAAGATACACAGATAGGATACCAAAATATGCCCAGGACTCAGTGGGGAGGGAGGGGATGCAGAAAAAGCACTGGCCCAGCTCAACTCCCTGAGTCATATGTGACCCTGGACAGGTCCTGTCCTTCTGGGAGGCCTCAGAGAGATGGAGATGGAGGAAGGGGAAGAGGGCCAGTTATGCTTAAACCTAACTCTAGCCCTGACCCCTCTCACCGTCTTCATTTGACATGGTCTAGGAAGTCCCAGCCATAGTAAATAGAAAAAAAAAAGAAATCAGATGGTTGATGAAAAAGTAAATTTGTCACTGTTTGTAGATGACATGATACTCTGTATAGAAAATCCTGAAGATAAGAATAAAGAATCAAGAATGAAAAAAAAAGAAAGAAAGAAAGAAAATCCTGAAGATGACACACAAAAACTAACAGAACTCATCAGAAAATTCAATCACGTTGCAGGATACAAAATTAACCTACAGAAATTGGTTGCATTTCTACACACTCACAACAAACTAGCTAATGAGAAATTAAGAAACCACCAACATCTACAACGACCTTTACCAAACTACAATACCCAGGAGCACACCCAACCCAGGAGGCACGGACCTGCACTCAGACAGCCGGGAGGCACTGATGAAGGAAACCAAAGATGACACAGACAATGGGAAGATACACTGTGCTCATGGATTGGAAGAAATTGTATTGTTAAAAGGATCCCACGCTCCAAGGCAATCTAGAGATTTGTTGACAGTCCTAGCAAAATACCAACGGAATGTTTCAGAGAACCAGAACAAAGGACTCTAAACTGTGTGTGGAAACACAAAAGAACGTGAATAATCAATACAATCTTAAGAAAGAAGCACAAAACTTTCATATCATGACCACTGCTGTCAAACTCTACCACACGCTCCCTGATGTCAAACCCTACTACAAACCGAGAACCATCAACACAGTATGCTATTGGCACAAAAGAAATACACATAAATACACAGAACAAAATTAAGAGGCCAGAAATAAACCCATGCTTGTGTGGTCAATTCACCTATGACAAAGGAGGTGAGAATAGACAACAGGGAAAAGACAGCATCTTCCATAAGTGGTGTTGGGAAAACTGGACAGCTACATGCACAGGAATCAAACTGGAATCCTTCCTCATTCCATCTACAAAAATAACCTCAAAATGAATCAAATACTTTAGTGTAGGACCTGAAGCCATAAAACTCCTAGAAGAAAACAAAGACAGTAAGTTCTTTCACATCAGTCTTAGCAATAATCTTTTGGCTCTGTCTCCTCAAGCAAGAGAAACAAAAAAAAAAACTAAACCAATGGGACACCATCCAACTGAAAATCTTTTGATAACAAAAGAAACCATTCACAAAATGAAAAGGCAGCCTACTGAATGTGAGAAAATATTCACAAAAGAATGCATCTGAAAGGGATTTATATCCAAAACAGACCAACAAAAAACTCACATAACTCAACCACCAAAATATATTTAAAAAAAAACTAATAAAAAAAAAAATTGGGAGAAGACCAAACATTCTTCCACAGTATACAGATGGCCAACAGACACATGAAAGGATGATCAATATTGCTCATCATCAAAGAAATGCACATCAAAACCACAATGAGATGATCTCCCCACACCTGAAAGAATGGCTATCATCCAAAAGGCAATGAATGACAAGCACCGGTGAAGATGTGGATA